AACATGCCATGGTTTTTACACGGTTTGGGGACTTTTCGTTCCTACAAGGGGACTGGTCCGCAGGCCACGACTTGTCCAAGTATGCACACACTGAACCCTAAAACCCTAAACCCTAGTCCCTAAACCTTAAACCCTAAACCACTCAGCCGGGTTACACGACTTCGTTCCGCCCTGCCCTGAGCACCCAAATTGCTACCATGCAGCTTACCCAGAGGCGGAAGCCCTACCAGACCCTACCCCTGAAACCCTAATCCCTAAACCCTACACCTCTTGTTTTTTGTTAAGGGCGTTTAGGGTAGTCAGGTTCCTGCAATTGAGCAACGAGGCAACCCCCAAGAAGGGGTAGGGTATAAACCTCCAGGTATCTGTGCCCGGAACGTAAGAGCTCCCATGGGAGACCTGAAGTGTTAGGGTTTGGGGTTTAGAGTTTAGGGCTTACAAGCAAACAAGCCCCCCTCCCCCCCCCGCACCATACTGGGTAACTGGAGGTCTGGGGTTAGCTCGGAGCTTCTAAGCATGACTGTGTGCAGACCCTTCTTCCTGAAGCGGTCGACTCGCAGAAATTCGACAAATGTCTCGCACTAGGGTATGGGGAAATCTGACCATGCCAGCAGCAGCAGCTTGCACACATTTTAAAGGCAAGCTTACCAATGTCCAAGAGGCTAGGATCCCACGCGGTCAAGGATCACAAGGCAGAGCACCCTAAACCCTAAACCCTAAACGTTTAAAGGTGTACAGGGTTGACAAAAAGTTGCAGCAGATCAGCCTGGGTTTAGGGTCTAGGGTTTAGGGTTTAGGGTTTTAGGGTTTAGGGTTTAGGGTTTAGGGTTTAGGGTTTCGGGTTTAGGGTTTAGGGGTGTTGGGAGAGGCGAGCAAAAGCACAAATATATCTCTCCGTCTGTCTTTTTCACATGCTCGCTAGAGAGTACAGATGTGTATTGACATGTCCAGTCTTGACTTGTTCCCATGCATCTATATGGCCAGTTCTCCAAATTTTGGACCCTTTCTTGGGTACCCTGAAATAAGAGAGGTCGCCTGATGAATAAGGACGCCAAAAAGGAACCATCATTTAGAGAAACCCTAAACCCTAAACCCGAAACCCTAAACCCTAAACCCTACGTAACATGGGAACACCAGCTCCGAATCCAAACACGCACACGTCCTGAACTGCTCGCTCACGTTCAGGGCTTCACAGTTCAGGTACGCACTATAAAGGTCGGAAGAATTACTAATAGGGTTTATAATTTAGGGTTTAGGGTTTAGGGTTTAGGGTTTAGATAATAGTATTCCCCTGTGGTCCCTATATGAATACACGATAATAACCCCTCAAAACCCTATTCGAAATATTAAGGCTCCTATAGTAACGGGCTAAGACCCAGAGATTCCCGATATACCCCTTACTTAAACAACCCTATCCTTAAACCATTCGACAAAAGGGTAAAGTTTGGGAGGTTCCCTCTTATACAAACAGTCCTGAATAGGGACTTCAATAGGGCGTACCAAAATCCGTGTTAAGGCCTGTTAGTATAAGGGGGCCCAAGGCAAAGTGGTTTCTCTGAAAAAAAATCCCGGAACGCGCAGGGCATCGATTGTTAGGGGCCGCTGGACGGCGCAGCCTGTCAAACAAAAGGAAAATTTTGGCCCGCGAGATTTCTCGCTGGTGAGAGTGTTAGGGTTTAGAGTTTTGGGTGTACCCCGAAACCCTGAACCCTAAACCCTGAACCCCCAAAACCCTAAGCCCCCAAGACCCTAAACCCCAACAAACTTAAACCTTAAACCCCCGAGACCCTAAACCCTGAACCCTGAATTTAGGCATTGGCGGTTGGGGGATTTGTTTCCATGTGGGGTTCGGCATCACTCGGAACACCGGGTACAAAGAGCCCAAGACCCCCCTTAAATGAGGAATATGCCCTTAAATCATTTTGAAGGGTCCATAAATATGACTTGAGGTATATGCGAAACCCGAAACCCTAAATCCTCAACCCTAAGCCCTAAACCTAAACCCTACAGCTAAGCATTGCGCTCCTTTGGGGGCTGTCAGGAAGTTGGGGATACTCCACTTTGAGACATGGGTGCGTTTAGAGTTTGGGGTCCAGGGTTTTGGTTTTAGGTGAGTTTTCGGCTGTAGAGTTTAGGATGTAGGGTGCAGGGATTAGTGCTGACCTCGGCTGTTTTGACGACGCATGTCGGCTCTGAACAGCTGCGAACTTGACACGGGAACTGAAGCCAGATGTCAAGATACCGTGCAGCAACCTACAACTGCCCAAGATCCCATGCACGTGGTCTAGGCCCCAAGTGACCGATCTACGACATCGGCCGCCCCCCCCCTCCCACAGGCAGGTTGAGCCTTGCGTGCCTCGATCGATAGACGCGCTAGGTGTGAGGTAGCAGTTTCGGTCTTCACCAAGAGGCTCCCTACAGAGTCGGATTTCTGGTGCCCAATTGGTCTTGGGTTTAGATGGGTTTAGGTCTTAGGGTGTGAGTGGGGTGCCATAGGCCACCACTTGAAGTGTGTTGCTCGGTCTGCAGCGCTGGCAAGCTTTCCGGAGGCACTGAGGGCCAGAGTTGAGGGCTTAGGGATTCTTAGTGTTTAGGGTTTAGGGTTTAGGGTTTGGGGTTCAGGGTTCAGGGTTCAGGGTTCAGGGCTAGGGTAGCTGAACACCCTGTAATATTTTGCTTTATCCGAAGCCCATCAACGCCTTGGCACTAGCTGTTACTAGCTTCCGTCGACGTTCATGGTCTGGCCAGCAAGCATCCTCTTTTCCTTCAGGGTGTTCAGTTGGGGCTTAGGGTCTTTCGGTTGAAATTTTGCTGGACCTCTAAGCCCAAAACCCCATCACCCCACACTAACACGCACGGGCACTCGCACTGGCAGGCGCATGCGCACAGGCACCCGGGCGCCCGCCCACCCGTGCGCACGCGAACGCGCGCGCACGAGTGCAGTATCACTCATCAACTGCCAGCAAGCAGGAGCCCGTGGCCACGAAGCGCTCATGGCATGCATCAGATCGCTTTGGGGTTTAAGGGCTTGAGGGTTTGAGGGTTTAAGCCCAAACCCTAAACTTAAACCCCATCAACCCTAAACCCGAAGCCCCAGGCCCTCAACCCAAGCCTGACTAGGATGCCCAGTAGCGCCATGTAGCGCCCTTATTCCTTTTTGTGTGGTTTGTAGGTCCCCTTATAATTCCAATCAAGCAAGAAAGGGCACCCTTTTGAATCCTAGGTTACTGGGCAGCCTAGCTGAACAGCCCTAAACCTTAAACCCTAAATCCTAAACCCTAAACCCCAAACCCTAACTGCAGGAATGGCTGACATCAAGCTGGCACCCACCTTTCTCCACGGTGCCCTCAGGCGAGGTCCGGGTGTCTTGGGGGGTTAGGGGTTTCGTTTCAGGCTTTGTACCCAAAAGAGCCCAAAACCTACTTTTTGTGGGTTGCCTAAGAACCCTATAAGGGGGCATATATATATATATGTATTTATATATTTATTTAGTTTTATATACGAACCTACAAAAGGTAGGTTTGGTGTTCTTCAGGTAGGGTTAGGGTTTGACCTTCCGGGGGTAGAGGCTTGCAGCTCCTATGGGTGAAGCATAGTAAGGGGTTTAGGCCTTACGGGTGGAAGGGCTTAGGGTTTAGGGTTTATGGTTTATGGTTTGGGGTTTTTATGGCTCAAGGGGGTTAAGACTCACACTCCTAAGAATGTACCCCTAACAGGATACCTTAATGGCCTTAATGTACTCCCTGGTTCTTAGTAGGGAATGAGGGAATTAGGGCCCTATATGTACCCTTTAAGGGATTATGTAGGGTACTTCTTCCCTCATTCCCTACAAAGAGCCAGCCAGTTCTATTCCCTTAGAGATCTTAAAGAAGGGGCCCCAAGCCCAAGGGTACAACCTTACCGGTGGTAGAGTCCCATGAATGGCTGGTTTGGGGAGCACCCTAAACCCTAAACCCTAAACCCTAAGCCCTAAACCCTAAACCCTAAACCCTAAACCTTGCACCCTCAACCGATGGTGAGGTCCATACTCAGAGTGGCTGAGATATTCTAAGGAGTCCATCCTCTCCGCTGCCCCACCCTCCCTGCCCGCGAATACGAGTTCTTCCCGGTGATCTCTGTAGGGCTTGGGCGGGCAGGGTTGGGGGTGATCTCTGGGGGCCTTGGGCGGGCAAGCAGTTTTTACGTGAAAGGGCCGGGGGTGATCTCTGGGGGGGCTGGGTGGGCGAGCGTTTTTACGTGAAAGGTTTGGTGGGTGGTGTTTGGGGGGGTTGGCGGGCCAATCGACCCACCAATTGACCCACCAATTTTTGACCCCCACCCAGGTAACAGATATACAACTTGCCAATGGTTCAAATTTGTAGCATCTTTACATGAGGTGTATGCTTATCGCACCTTTATGTGTCTAAGGTGTATGCTTATAGTACACTTGTATTTCTAAGCCATGGGATGTTGAGTAAAGAATGCACTTCGCGAGTCTTGACTGTTGCAGAGAGTCCACTTATAGTGCTCTTCCGGCGTTAGGTATCCCAAGACCCTAAACGGTTTAGGGTTTAGGATTTAGAGGTTGTTGGTACGGAATTCCATAACACTATTACCAGTGGACCTCCGAAATTTCAGGTTTGGGGTTGTAGGGCGCGTTGAGTGCATTTTCCGTTGGGCGTATTTTGCACAACACCCGCGAGAAGCCGACTTGTAATTTGGGCGGGCGTGTTGTCTAGGTCAGGGTCTTTTTTTTTTTTTTTTTTTTTTTTGGGGGGGGGGGGGGGGGTGTCCGGGGTGTCATGTTTTGTGAGAAGGCTTGCAATAGAAACAAATTATTATACTTTTGTAGGGACACAACAAGAACATATATATATATATATATGTATATAGGTGAGTATATTTGTATGCATATATATATATATGTATATATATATATATGTATGTATGTATAGAAGATCCCTACCATGGGGGAACTATCGTTGCTGTAACTGCCAGGGGGCATGTCGCATTAACAACCACCGCGCCGGATACTCCCACGGAGTCTGAGAGGCAGCGCCTGGGTCTTGCTCTTTAGGCTTTGGGGTTTAGGGTTGAGGGTTCAGGGTTTAGGGTTTAGGGTTGCAGGGTTGCAGGGTTGCAGAGTTGCAGGGTTGCAGGGTTTAGGGTTTAGGGTTTAGGGGGGATCGGGGAAGTTCTAGAGTCTAGAACTTAGAGGAGGCCCTGACTCCCCTTTTTTGAGGCTTTAGGTTCCCCCTTATACGCCCCTTTCGACCGACCAACAAGCGCACGCTTTTTATTCCTAGGCTACTCTTGGGTCTAGAGGTAGGTTGGGGTGTGTAGGATGTGTAAGACCCCTACCCTAAACCCTAAACCCTAGACCCTAGACCCTAAACCCTAAACATAGACACATGCCTGAAAAACTGAAGCCTAGCTCATAGCTTCTAGCTGCTCATCAGGAAGCCCACAACCGCAAATCGTTTGCTAGGACCCAGAGTAGGCCGCATTTCCTCTTGTAGGGTTTAGGGTTTAGGGCTAGGGTTTAGGACCCAGAGTAGGCCCGCATTTCCTGTTTTAGGGTTTAGGTTCCCCTACAACCCCCTTAAAACCAAAAAGGGCACCCTTTTTATTCCCATGTTACTCCTGGGTCTACATTGTCTTTCGATGGGTTGGTAGGAAAATGGGTTGTGGAGGTTCCCAGAAACTATTGCAGTCAGGAGCATTCCGGTTGCTACTGAATGCCTATTGGATCCTCTTTCTGCTTGCCCGAAATCACAAAGGGTTGCAGATTCTGTGGTCCGGGCTTTAAAAGTTCAAAGCTGAGTAAGAGAAGCCTTTGATTATTTTCGGACTAGCAGCTGCAGCTTTCTGAGTGCGGGCTTTCTGGGTTTTAGTAAAGATCGGGAGATATTATATTTTGTTTCCTTGTTGTGGCAGACTCTTTAGGGTAACGTCATTAGACTCCTATTCCTGTCAGCTGCGGGGTTTCCATTCTACTTCGTACTGAATTCCTATCAACTTCGCCCGAAAAACATAAAGGTTGCGATGACATCCTTGGTTGCCCGCATTAAGGGTAGAGTAACGTGGGATGTTGGAATATTCCCACAGTTCTTTTGCGCAGGGGCTTGAACAAAGGTTCACCTTTTCTGGTTTGGTTTCTACGGTTTCGTACACGGTTCAGCAAGCGGCCGTTCCTTTGAGCACCGGGTGCTAGGGTCTGGGGTCTAGAGCTTCAAACTCTGAACCCTAATCCCCCTCCGCGCCCACCCCCTCCACCCACCAACCCCCCCCCCCTCCAACACAACAAGACACACACACACATGTAAATAAAGCAAAAGCAAACAAACCACCCACAAAGACACACACACACACACATGCACATGTAAAACAAAGCAAAACAGCAAGCGAACAACCCAGAGTGGAGGGTCTTTTTAGAGGCGGTGGCTGTGGATGCCTGTGGCTTGCACGGTGTTCCTGATCCTGGCGGTGGTTGCAGGCGCATGGGGGCTTAGGGTTTAGGGTCCAGGGTTTAGGGTTTAGCATTTAGGGTGTGGGGTTCAGGGCTTTGGGACCTTGAACCCATTTTTCAATCCTGAAACCAGAAGGTTCCTTGCCCAACCCTAGACGGCTTTAGGGTTTAGAGTTATTCCTGGCGGCCAGACCGGCTAGACTGCAGGTCCCCGGACGTACTTATAAGATGCCTTGATGACCACCCTTTTTAGGGTTTAGGGTTGAGGGTTTAGGCACCTGAATACCCCGGACCCCTCCACTACTAAGTTACCCCGATAAACCTAAACCCCTCGACCCGGTAGCTTTACGGTCCGAATCTCAGGAACCTTGGGACCCTCAACCCTAAACCATGAACCCTAAAACCTAAACCCTAAACCCTAACCCCTAAACCCTAAACCCTAAACCCCTAAACCCTAAACCTTAAGCCCTAAGCTCTGAACCCCTAAACCCTAAACCCTGTCACCCAACCAGCCCGGTTCTGGGCCGAGGGTGTTGAATATATCTGAGGGTAGTTTCATGGGCCCTTAAAGGCTGTGCAGCGCATAAAAGATGGGTATATAAGGGCTAAACCCCAAACCCCAAACCCTAAACCCTAAACCCTAAAGGGCCCATGCTGAGGGACCATGTAGCTGGCCCAAGAATAGAGGATTTTGTTCTCGTTTCGGGCTCAGGGTGTAGGCGGCAGGGGTTGCGGTGCGAGTTGATTCTGTGAAAAGGTTAGGGTTTAGGGTTTAGGGTTTAGGGTTTAGGGTTTAGGGTTTAGGGTTTAGGGTTTAGGGTTTAGGGTTTATGTAGGGTTTAGGTTTTAGAGCTTTTGGGGGTTGTGGTGGTTTTGCGATCATGGCTTTCAGGCTCGGGAATGCGCACGTCACCCGTAAAGGCGTTGCCTTTGGGCATACACCGGCGCAGTATTCTGCCCATGATGTATCGCAAGTTGGGCACCATTTCCTACCATAAGCCCTATACCCCAAACCCTAAACCCTAAACTCTAAACCTTAAACCCTAAACCCTAAACCCTGTACAAATCCTAAACCCTTGCCTTGTGCCAGGCTCCGTTCGGATCGCTTGGCGTCTTAGCCGATCGAACGCCGAGGTGCCTGGGAAGCTGTCTGTCCCAGCTCAGGAAGCACTCTTGCATAAACATTGCTTTGAGGGATGGGTTCCCCAATATTCCTAAACCCTAAACCCTAAACCTTAAATCCTACACCCTAAACCCACATATATTGTTTCAAAGATACCAGGGCACCCGGCGTAGCATCCCCAGGCCACAACCCCAAACGCCGAGGACAAGGAGGAAGTGACGAGCCTCGCAGCAGGATTGTGCAGCGTAGCTGTATTCCACACGCCTTTTTGGCGACATCGCTGCCTATGCCACATCTCAAGCCGATGCTATAGCCAGTATCTTCGTGTAAACGGCCCAATTGCGCAGTGCTGCAATGGCTTGTTTCGAGTGGTTTGTGAGTCGCTGTTGCGCTCTTCTTCGTCCGTCCCCGGAACAAGGCGGATGGAAGGGACTCAGGGCCGGGCAGGCAAGTGCAAGAACCCTCCCTGACGGCACTTTCCGCCCAGTCGGTCAGGTTGCAGGGCAAGCTTGTTGTCAACCACAAGGTTCCGTTTGAGTTCGGTGTTGTGGGCTATGAAAGAGACCAGGCATTTTATCATGCCGGACTCCTGCTCATGGGTGACTTTCATATGAACTCCATGAAGTACAAGTACTTGTTTGCCGATCGGTGGGCTGATGGCATTGGGATCGAGTTCTTTAACGATGAGGGCTCCATCGAAGCAATGCTTGCGCGCATCACTCTTCATGAACATCACAAGCTCACCGACTACATGGTGGCATCATGGTATCCTTCTTGGACGCCTGCCACGGAAATGTACGAGTTCATTCTTCAAGAGCTGCCCCGCAAGACAGACATGAGGGGCTTCCGTCGCAAAGAGGACCTGCGTGAGAAGCCGGAGCTCACGAACTGCGTCGCCTTCACATGTCGCGGCGGGAGCGTGCTAGCAGTTGATGGGCAACACTTCCTGGCCACCTCTTCCGCAATGATGGCACAAGTGTGCGACCATCGTTTGTAATTAAGCAGGTATCTTTGTTTGACCTGCGTGCAGCCATGGAGATGCCAGAAGTGCGAAGAGCTGACTTCGACCAAGAGGCGGCCTTCAACTCCATGCCACTTGTGTCCGCGACCGCGGCATAGTCATTGGACATCCAAAAGTTGGCCCTTGCTCTGCGTGATGCAGAGATGAGCACCTGCACTTCAGTTCAGATGCACATGCAAATGCACACATGCACATGCACATGTTGCTACTGCAGTACTGTAGCTGCTGTTGTGTTTGTTGTTTCCGCTGCTGTTGTTGCTGATGTTGCTGTTGCTCTGCTGCAGCTGTTGTTGCTGTGGTGATGGTGGTGGTTGTTGTTAAGTTAAAGGGACATTAATGGTAGGAATAATGACAGGAATATACCTACCAAGGCCATTCTATTCGCGGTATATTCCTATTATATTGTTGGCGTTCCCAGTTTGGTTCCCATTAGGCTGGTTTAGAAGTGGTGTGGTTTTACCGACTCGGCCGACTTGACACACCCCAAATCGCTGTATCCTTGAATACCGCCCCTTAGCAAACCCGCAATTTCAAGGGTTTGGGGCTTGGGAAGCCCTACGGTGGCCACCCGTACCCTTCTTCAACTTAAAAACCCACAAGGTCTTTGACTTTGACAGTGATGGTCGCAGGTGGAAGAGAGCAGATCGAGAAAGAGCGGATGGCTCTGGCAACTTGGCAATGTTGTGAGGGGCAGACAGATCCTATCGGCATATGTTTTTGTAACTCTGGCTGGGGGGGGGGGGGGGGGGGGGGTGGGGTGGGTAGGGGACGGGTTGTTTATGCCACATTTCAGTGCGGACCGCTTCTTAAGTTGTCAACAGGTAAATCATTGGTGGTTTAGGGTGTAGGATTGAGGGTTACTTGTTGCGAAAACGATGCTGTAAGCCCTTAACAGCCCTGATCACTTCCGCACATGCTCTCCACGGAATTGCGAGACCCAAGCTGGGAGAAGTACAGGAGGGCTTAGGGTAGTGTCATAGTAGTCGTCGTCGTCGTAGCTGGACCAGCCTTTACCTAACACCAACCAGGGTTTAGGGTTTCTGCCCTAAACCCTGAACCCTAAACCCTAAACCCTCAACTCAACCCTCAACCCTCCACCCTCAACCCTCAACCCTCAACCCTCAACCCTCAACCCTAAACCCTCAACCCTAAACCCTAACCAAGAAGCCCAATCCCGAAGTTCTGGCCCAACGATCCAGGAACCAGCGGTATGGCTGCATCAAGTACATTCTCCGATCGAGTGGGGCTGTCGGGCTGGCCGGGTGCCCCTGAACTTGGAGCGAGGAGAGGGGGGTGGGGGGGGAGGGAGGGAGGACATCGAAGATAGGCTCTGGGGCTGAGTGGTTTAGGACCCTAAGCTCTAGGTGCAGCCTAGTTTGGATATTCTAGGGGAACTGCTCGGTCAGACACCTCCGAGGCATTAAGACGATGTGGGGCCCCAAGCCACCCCCCCCGAAAGCCGCGCCTAAAGCGCAAAGACAGATTTAATTACTGTACCCCAAACCCGAAAACCCCCAACATCCTAAGCCCAGAACACCAAAACCCCAAACCCCCAAAATCTCAATCCTAAAAAGTCAACCCGGGCTGAAGCCAAGGGTTTGAAACCATGCCTAACTGTCGAAGCACCACAACACAAACTCCAGCACACGCACGTCTAAATCGGTATTTCGGGTTCAGGGTTTGAGGGTCATGGTGAAAACTGAGGCAATTATCCCGTATATGGTAAATACACCCCACCACTCCCACCCCCCCCCCCAAAAAAAAAAAAACAAAAACGAATAGAGTGCGATGCAAATAGTCTGCCCCAAAATAGGTCAGGTGCTAAAATGTTGGGAAGCCCTAAGATGGGTCTTCGATCTTGCCCTTGATTACGCACAGCCATTTCGTGGATGCTGTTTTCTGTTGATAGTTTTTGATCAGCCGTTGAACACCTCCCCACTCCCCAACCGCAAGGCCTAAACCCAAACTCGAAACCTCAAAGCTTAAACCTCAACCCCAAACCCTACTAAAGCCTATACCCAAACCCCGAAGACCAAACCCCTTTGCTTGGGATGTTCCCGCTTATACGAACAGTCCTTAGTAGTGTTTGCCGTACCCCTATTCTAATCCCGATGAAGGACTGTCAGTATAACGGAGAACATCCCAACCTTCATCCCTAATCCCTTAACCCTAAACCTTAAACCCTAAACCCTGAACCTTAAACCCTAATTACACTCCTAAACCCTAAGCCTAAACCCTAAACCTTGGGCCCTAAACCCTAAACCCTAAACCCTAAACCCTAAACCTTAGATCTGATGCCCAGGCTGCCGGCCTGCTGGGACTGATCATAGCTGCCCGCCGATTCTACGAGCACTGGCCGGGGGCCTCAGCGTTGCGGTTTAGGGTTTAGGGTTTAGGGTTTGGGGTTTAGAGTTTAGGGTTTAGAGTTTAGGGTTTAGGGTGTAGGGCTACATCTGGCGGCATGAGTCCCGGGAGCCCTACACCCCAAAATCCCCGACCCTGCAGCCCTAGCCTTTCGGCATTTCGGATCGCCCTAAACCCTGTTCATGGTACTAATTAACCAATTGTAATTAACTGTACTTATAACCCACTTATAAGCCCCTTAAGTGCCCTAACATGGTTATAAGTGCAGTTATACGTACGTTAATAAGTACCATGAGCCTCCAAGTTGCACACCTCAGCGGCCAGGCAGGCGATGACCTAAGGGGTGCATAGGTTTTGCTTACCGGTTCTGAGTCGTAGGCAATTTGGGAAGTGGTAGTTGCCCAAAGCCCGAATCCCAAAACCCTAAGCCCTAAACCCCTAAACCCCTAAACCCCTAAACCCTAAACTCAAAGGGTAGTTATTCAAAATGCCTCTCGCCACAAAGGCAGGTTCCCTATTTCTGGTCAGGATGCTCCTTTCGAAAGACACTCCTATCCCATGGTCCCTCCATTCAAAGGACATTTAGAACAACCCCCACAATGTCGGTGCCTTACTTGAAGGTTCATGGGTAGGGTTACGGGCTTAGTGTTCTATGCACAGTAACTAAGGTTATCACATATAATAACTACCCTTGAACCTCCAAGTACATCTGCTTATACAGCCCTTGTAAGGGATTGTATGGGGACCGGAAAAGTCAAAAGCCCCTAACCCCTACAAAGAGCCATATTTACAAGGTTGAGGGCATGGCGTTATGGCTTTGGCTTATACTAACAGTGTTCAGTCGGGATTATAGTGCCCCCTATTTTAATCCTGACTATGGACTGTTAGTATAAGGGGGCACATCCCAAGCTTAGGGACTGGAGATTTTTAACCCAAAACCCAAAACCCAAAACCCTAAACCCTAAACCCTGAACCCTAAACCCTAAACCCTAAACGCACCTCCAGCACAGCCCAGGGACCAGGTCCGAGCCGGCACTGTGAACGTTTGGTTCATCGTCCTCCCGTCTGGCCGGCTGGATTTTAGGGTTTAGGGTTTAGGGTTCAGGTTTCAGGGTTTAGGGTTTAGGGTTTAGGGTTTGTGCATATAGAGCCCCCCCACAATAACAAGAGTTTCAAGAAAGAGTTCCGTACCAAATGGCTTCTACTACAATAAGCAAAGGTGCCGCGTACAAAGAGTTGCAGCCTAAACCCTAAACCCTAAACCCTAAGCCCTAAACCCTAACCCCTAAAAAGCCCTAAACCCCATAAAGCCCATGTCTCGACACTTCTCAGAAGACTGCTGAGTTCAGAGGGTCTACCTATAGTATCACGCATGAACTCAGGCACCTCAGTGTGTAGGGTTCAGGGTTTTAGGGTTTAGGGTTTAGGGTTTAGGGTAATTCCAGAACTCTGGGGACTGGTTTAGGGTTAGTTGCTGGGCTCACGATTGCAATTGCCCAGCCCCGCAGCCCCAAACCCCAACCATCGTCTGGCCATGGTGTTGCGATGTTTGTCGTGAAGTCTGAACCCTAAACCCTACACCCTAAACCCTGAACCCTAAACCCTAAACCCTCAACCCTAAACCCTCAATCCTAACCCTAAACCCTAAACCCTTTTTTGGGGCATAGGCCCCTCAATAATCGCTGCTAAGGGTCTCGGGGTTTAGGGTTTACGGCTTGGGTGTCGGGGCATGGAGTTTGGTTTGAAGCCACGAACACTGAACCCTAAACTCTGAGCCCTAAACCCTAAACCCTAAACCCTACACACTCAACCCTGACCCCTCGACTGCTTTGGGACTCTTAACTCTGAGCCCCAAGTGTGTCCCAGGGTCTGCACGCCTCGAGCGGTAGAAGGACGGGTCCTTCGACTGAGGGCCCTCGTGTTCGGCGGTTTCTATACCCCCCTAACCATGAAGTCCTAAACCCTCAACCTCAAACCCTAAACCGTAAACCTTAAACATCCTTAAACCCTAAACCCTAAACCAGAATGGGTTTGCTGGGTTCAGGGCCTCCAGTCCTACCATTCGGGTCTGACCTCCGGAACCCTAAACCATCCTAAACCCTAAACCCTAAACCCTAAACCCTAAACCCTAAACCCGGGATCATGGCAGGGCGCTGACCTACTTTTTCCTGGCCGTGGCGTTTCTCTTTGCTGGCTTAGGCCAGGGCCACCTGCGGACGCACTTCCGTGATTTAGGGTTTAGGGTTTAGGGCTTTGCTGCTGCTTGCAGGCACCTACCACCCTTTACCCTAGACCTATACATGCGTGTATTTGTTGCTATATAAGTAGTCGACTGTAATTAGACGTGGACATGGCATTGGGTTGTTTGCCTCCGGTCTTTGGCACCGCGATAGGGGCGCCGAAATTAGAACGAGATCGCTTTTGGTGACTTTAAAAGTTGTCATGCAGTTTCAAACGCCGCCCAACCTTTGTTTCCATCGAGCCCATGTGTGAACGAGACCCCTAAACCCTGAAGGCCCTAAACCCTATGTTCACGAGTCCCACCCATTTCTTGGAAAGTAGAAGAAATGCTGCACCTACACATACTTGAAGGTTCATGGGTAGCTAGAAGC